GCACCCCTAGGGTTACTCCACTTGTTGCCTTCAATAATGGGCCATGTTGCATGTTGAGTTTCTTTGGCAAAACAAAACAAATCAAATGATCATAGTCCCTCGATGACGCTTTCGAAAGTTGCCTAAAAATGATCAAGTCCCTTAAAGGAAAAATTTCCAAAGACACTTGGCACTATTGCAATCATGGTCTAAACGATGACCCGCGCCCGTCCCGTTAACATCCTAACACAAGATTGTCCACCAAATACAATGGTGGAACAAAATTGTTAAAAGGGTTAAAAACATAGGAAAGATCTTTGAGAAATTTAGGGTAGATAGCTCTTGGTTACTTGACCAATCTTGCAAAACAATCCTTGCCATTTTTCAAAACACACATCACAACACACTTTCAAAACAACTTTCAAAAACATTGAAAACTTTTCAAAAGACAAATACACCTTTGTATACATTCAAACATGGATCATTACAAAGGTTGCCACAACAATGGCCTCTTTTCAAAACATTTTCAAACCCACACACAAAGCACCATTTCAAACAATTGAAAGCACCATTTCAAACAATTGAAAATACAAGGCAAGTGATCTAAGCAAGTAACTAAGAGCCCATGGATAACCATGGATAGAAAGGGTGATAATACCTTCCCTTTCTATAATCTACTCCCCGAACCCAAGAAAACATCTCAAAGGTTTTTGCTGTGCTTTTTAACCTTTCCTTAGGATAAAATAAAAAGTAGGTGGCGAATCTTGCTCAACCGAAACATTTGCGAAAACAAACGCAAAACCCAAGTCAGTTCTCCCACCGAATCACAACTTCACATCAAGTTGGTGCATTTTTCCATCCCCTACATGCAGCTATAGAAATAACAATCCTGATTGTTTCCATCCTAGCAATAGGTGCATATACTTCATCGAAGTCAATACCTGGTTGTTATAGAAAACCTCTGGCCACCAGTCTTGCCTTGTACTTTGCAATCTCACCATTTGGACTTCGTTTCACCTTGTAGATCCATTTCACATCAATTGTTTTCTTGTTGGTTCTTTCGACAAGCTCCTAAGTGTTGTTCTTCTCAATGGCTCTATGTTCTTCTTTCATGACTTCACACCAATTCGAATTTCTCAAGGCTTCATCCAAATCAATTGGTCCTGCTTCATCCATCATCATGGCTTCTTCAATTAAGTCACCATCATCATCAATTGCTTGATCTGGAAACCTCTCATATCCAATCAGCCTAGTCAACTAAGTTCTTGTTCTTGTGGATCTTCTTTCATTTTGCACAGGTGGTTCTTCATTTCGATCAGTCGAAGTATCACCTTATTCATTTTGACTTGTCGAAGCTTCGTTCTTTTCATCTTCTTTGAACACAGTTGTGACTGTGTCTGATTCTTGTCAAACTGAACTTCGACTCCAATCACATCCTTTGCTTTCGTCTACAAGAACATCTCTACTGATCACTAGTTTATCTTCAATTGGTGAATACAACTTGTATGCACTAGTCGAATGATAACCTATGAGCACCATGACTTCACTTTGATCATCCAACTTCTTTCTCAGTTATCCAGGTACATGTCTGAAACATATTGATCCAAAAATTCTAAGATGACTTACATTTGGCTTCGACCCTGTCCAAGCCTCATGCGGTGTCTTTTCGACCATCTTCTTCGTTGGGCATCTATTTAGAATGTATATTGCTGTCAAAGCTGCTTCAACCCAAAATCTCTTAGGCATATTCTAAACTTTCAACATACATCTCTTCATGTTCAGTACACTTCTATTCTTTCTCTCAGCTATGCCATTATGCTAAGGCATATAGGGTGTAATAACCTCATGCTCTATACCTTCCTCATTGCAAAATCTAGCAAATTCAGCAAAAGTATATTCGCCGCCACCACCAATTCTTAACTTCTTCAATTTGAAACCACTTTGTTTCTCAGCATGCAACTTGAACTTCTTGAACTGTTTGAATACCTCACTCTTCCTCTCAATAAGATAAATCCACATATGTCTGGTGAATTCATCAATGAAAGTAAGAAAATACCTGTTACCTCTATTGGACTTTACTTCAAAGGATCCACACACATCTGAATGAACCAGCTCCAGTTTTTGCCTTGATTTTATAGGCAAATCACGTTTGAACGCCTTCCATGTCTGCTTAGCTTTGCAGCATTCCTCACATATTTGCTTTAGTTCCTTCACATACGGAAACCCAAGCACCATTGTTTTCTTATTGAGCATACATAAACTCTTGAAGTTTAGATGTCCATACCTGTGATGCCATAGCCAGTTCTTGTCTTCTTCTATAGTCGAAGAAAGACATTTGTGATATGATGTATTGAGTTCAACCCTAGATGTTTTGTTCTCCGCCAATGGTGCTTTCATTATTAGCCTCCCATCATCCTTATATACCTTAATCTGATTATTCTCCAATTTCATATTGAAGCATTTTGCAAGTAATTGACCTACACTTATCAAGTTACTTGTCATCGAAGGTACATATATAACTTCAGTGATAGTAGCCTTTCGACCATCCTTTCTGATAATCAAAATATCTCCTTTACCACCTGACTTGATATGCTTGCCATCTGCAAACTTTATCACCTTTTCGATTGACTCATCTAACTTGGTAAACCAGTTTTTATTGTCAATCATGTCGTTGCTACATCCTGAATCCAGATACCACATATTGTTTTTCTCAGTGTTCGACTGAGTGTTCACCAGCAATAACACATCATCATAGTCACTACTTCCATCTCGTGCATATTGAGCTTCATCACTATCTTTCGACTTCACAGCTTTCTTTCTTCGACAATCTCTAGCATAGTGGCCAAAACCTTGACAATTGTAACATTTCACCTCTTTCGTGTCAACTTTCTTCTCAGAATACTTGTTGCCCACACCTTTCGAATCAGTATTCTTGCTTGACTTCTCATCACCAGCAAGATTCTTTTGCTACTTCGACTTCTCTTTTCCAGCTTTCTTGCTGAATCTTGATTGCAATGCTTGTTCAGCTGCTTTCTCCCTTTCTGAGTTTCTTTGCTGCAACCTCATTTCATGAGCCTCTAAAGAAGCTTGAGGTTCTTCCAACTTCATCTCAGATAGATTCTTGGCCTCTTCGATTGTTACAACAAAGTAATCAAAATCTGCAATTAGAGATCTCAATACCTTTTCTATCTTTTGCAAATCTGTTAGCACTTCACCACACGCCTTCATTTGGTTTATTAGCATCACTACTCTTGAGAAATATGCAGAGATAAATTCATCATCTTTCATCCGCAGCATCTCATACTGCTTTCTCAAAGTCTGCAACTTCACTTTCTTCAATTTCTCATCTCCACCATACAAGGACTTCAGCTTTTCCCAAACTCCTTTTGTTGTTTCTTCTTCGATTATCTTCTCAAATACATCACAATCCACACACTGGTGAATCAAGAACATCGCCTTGCCATCTTTCTTCCTCTGATCTTTGTGTGCAGCTGTCTAGGCTTCTGTAGCATTCACTTCCAGTTGTGATATTCCATCATTCAAGATTTCTACAACATCTTGAAATCTGAAAATAACCTTCATTTGTGCCACCCCTCGTTGTTAGTTTTCACCTTTGAAAACTGGTAGATTTTCTGGAAATTGTGTTGATGTTGTTGATTCGTTTGCCATTAGATTCACTCTGAATCGCAAACAAACTCTAATACCAATTTGTTGGAACAAAGGATTCAAGAAAGATGAATATTGTGAAAAACAAAAAGAAGAAGAAGAAGAAGAAGAAGAAGAGAGAGAGAGAGAGAGAGAGAGAGAGAGAGAGAGAGAGAGAGAGAGAGAGAGAGAGAGAGAGAGAGAGAGAGAGAGAGAGAGAGAGAGAGAGAGAGAGAGAGAGAGAGAATTGAGTTAGTTAAGTGTAACTAACTCTGAACTGAATGCAGTTATTATTGTTGCTTACTATTACAAACACAATAGCCCTTTATATAGACAAAATAGCTCAGGCCCAAATACATACTAAAAAGCTCAAATAACCACATAACAAAAATTAACCAACTAACAATGTTTCGCATAACTATAACTGATCTGACTTAAAGAGACAAAATAATATATCTTTTTGAAATCAAATTAACATGTATATTTATTGCAGATTAATTACACTAATGTGTTTATATTGTTAAGGTAGATTTGATGTGTGTCAATAAAGATTTTATTTTTTTACTGGTCAAAATTTGTTTATTATATTTTGTTTTTATTTTGCTTTAGCAATTCAAATATTTGCAATAAATAATTACATAAAATATTGTATAAAAGTTATACAACAGTGTTTTGCTAATAATATGCTTTCTATTTTAAATTATAAGTCATTTTACATATAAAAAAATTGTATTCTACATTTTATAGTTTTTTTAATATATATTATTTTCTCTTTTCTTTTCTTTCTATTAATTTTAATTTGTCATAATATTTTTGAAAGATACTTTTTTGAAAGCAATTATAGAAATTATAATTTTTTATTTAAAAAATTATATGTATTTTTAATTTGTGTGAAATGAACAGATGACCTATAATTAAAAATAGATGTAGTATATTTGAGAAATTGAATGTGTGTTTGTAAAAAAAGCTACAAAGTATGTAGATGGTAAGTGATATTAAAATAATTGATGAAGAAAACTAGGAAAGGTTAATTCAAAAATTATTTTAAAGAAAAAACAAAAAGTACACTTTTTATTACTTATTATTAATTAATTTTAATGTTTTAAATATATTGAATAAGAAGTATATCAAATTTATATATTAATTAGATACATTGATTATTGAATGAATTTAAAAATTTTATATTTATTTATAATAAAAAATGAAAATATGAAGAAAAAAATAATGTATTCAATTCATATCCTTGACCTCATAAATTTTATTTTAATTAAATTATTATACCATTTTATTTGTTATTGAACATTTGTCTATAAATAAGAAATGCACTAAAGTCCAATCTATCATAATTAATTCATCCCTAAAAGAAAACGTCAAAAATGATACATATATTGTTATTAGTTATGTGTCTGGTGGCAACTATTACTGGCCACAGAGATCATGGTATGCAGAGTGTGTTGAAAGAAGATTTGGAATTGGAGAGGCAACTAAACATCCTTAACAAGCCTCCTATAAAGAGTATTCATGTATTTTTCACATGATTTATTGGAGGTTTCAATTGCTATGTAAGGGTTTCATTCAAGTTGACAGATCATACATTTTTGGTGCACGTGTATCTAAAACATCTACTTATGGCGGAGAGATAATGGAAGTGGCACTTCAAATTTCAAAGGTAAACTCATCTCTTTACATATATTTAAATTTATAAATTATGTAATGTCACTTTTCAAGTTGTAATGCTATCAAGTGTTGAAGTTCAAAGAGATGCTATATAAATATTATAGATTATATACATCTTAAATGATATTATATTCTTTTAATTTAATCATAAGCTTTTGAGTTAATACAATTCTAATAGTAAAATATTAAAATATTGTGGTGTTCAGGATAATGTAGGCAATTGGTGGTTAAAAGTGCTAAATAAGGATATTGGATACTTTCCTGCAGCTTTATTCTCCTCATTGAAAGGAGCTGATCAAGTGGGATTTGGTGGTTATACTGTAACTCCTGCGGGTACTGATAGCCCTACAATGGGTTCCGGACACAAACCTGATGGTGACTTCACTCATGCATCTTATTTTAGGTTTGTAAAACATTTGAATATAGTTCAAGAACCTGATGATCCTCTACCATTTATGGTAGAAATAGATAATGATGCTCCTAATTGCTATGGAGTTACGAACTATGAAGGCAAAAAAAGACATATGGGATATTCTCTTCAATTTGGAGGACCGGGTGGTAAATGTTAATAGTTAATTATAGTGAACAAATTTATATGTAATAAAGAATTCTAATAATATGTGGCCAATATAATTTGTCTTTTTTAATTAAATATTTTTAAAATTTTGAATTTTAAAAGTTTTTAAAGGAGTTTTATGGTCTAATAATATAAAATAAAATAAAAAATACCATTGTTTTATAAGTTAGCAATAAAACATAGGATAATATTTGAAGGAATCTTTGATTTATCTACAAATTTTAATGTTCAACTTAATATAAAAAAATATTTATTCTTTTAGTATCAGTTAAGAAAGTACACGCGAGATTACTATTTTAATCATCAATAATTCCTTTCAAGCATCTTTTATATCATGTTTCACAATCAGTTTTGTTAAATTGTAATTCAATGTGTCGAAACTATGTGTCGAAAAGATTTGATTTGTTTTATATTTAAATAGATTTGATTTAAGTCTAGAATAAATTAGATTTGATTTAGTAACAAAAAGATATTTTGGGTTTTGGGCTTAGGGTGTAAGCTCAGTTATAAATAGAGGGAGTAACCCTATTTTTGTAAGCAAGTCATTCACAGTATTTTGCAGTTGTAAAGTGAATAATAAAGTTTTCACAGTTTGTGAGCAGAGAGAAACTCTGTAGAAATTATTTGTCTTGTCTTCTTTTCTTTGTTTGTCTCATAATTAAATTGTCATTGTGGTAGAAATTCGTCATAGTCTTTTGGTGGATTTCCAACATCTGGTATCAAGAGCTTTGTTTCGATTCAAGGGAAGTGTCTATCAAGAACGATTGAAGAATTCACGATGACAAGTTATGGGAATGCAAATTATCCAGCAACCCTACCAATTCTGAAAGTTGACAACTATGAGAATTGGTGCAAACAGATGAAAGTCTTATTCAGGTGTCAAGGTCTTTGGGACCTTGTAAAAGATGGAGTCGAAGCGCTAGGAGAAAACGCTTCAGAAGAAGAAAAGAAGAAACACGTAGAATCTGAGAAGCTAAGTTATAAAGCATTATTTATAATTCATCAATGTGGCAGCCCAGACAATTTCGAAAAGGTTAGTGATTCAGAATTTGCAAAAGAAGCTTGGGAAATCCTTGAGAAGTCTTTTGGAGGCGCTGAGAAAGTGAAAGAAGTGAGGTTACAAACTCACAAAAGGACCTATGAACTGCTTCAAATGGAAGACAGTGAAAGCATATCTGATTTCTTCACTAGAGTTACAAAACTAGTAAATCAAATCAAGATATGTGGAGAAGCATTAACAACAAGAGTTATTGTGTCGAAGATCTTGAGATCTTTAGCTCCTAAGTTCGACCATATAGTGGTGGCGATAGAAGAGGGGAAAGACTTGTCTAAATTGAAAAAGGAAGAGCTTCAAGGGACGCTTGAATCTCATGAACAAAGAATGAACGAAAGAGCTGCAGGAAAATCGAAGAGTGATGTGGCCTTGCAGGCACATTCAGCAAAAGAGACCAAAGGCAAAGGAAAGTGTTTCGACAGAGGTAGAGGTGGCTACAACAAATCGAATGGTAGAAGAAACCAGATTGAAGGAAACGTGTCGAATCAAAGAAGACCATACCAAGGAAACCAAAGAGGTGGTGTTGCAAATAGAGGAAGAGGTGGTGGTCGAAAACCTGATAAGAGTCACATTAAATGTTATAATTATTAGAAGTATGGTCACTATTCAAGTGATTGTCCAGAAAAACGAAAGAATCAAGAAAGTGATGCAAAGCTTGCAAAACATGAAGAAGAAGAAGAGATGATGTTTATGGTTACAACAAGAGATGAAGATAGATTCAAGGACCAATGGTACTTGGATTCAGGATGTTCATCACATATGTTTGGAAGGAAAGACTGGTTCGTCAATATAAAACCCTCAATGAAAAATATGGTAAAATTTGCAAATGACAATACCCTAGTAGTTAAAGGTATTGGTGATGTTATGATCATGAGGAAAGATGGCAAAAGGTCAGTAATCTCCAATGTGTTGTACATACCAGGCATGAAGAGCAATTTTCTCAGTATATGCAGTTGGTCGAAAATAATTATAAAGTGTCAATCAAAGATAAGATGATGAGAGTCGTTGATGCAAATGGGAGATTAATCTCGAAGGCTCCTATGTCTCAGAATCGAACCTTCAAGATTAAACTAAATGTGATGGAGCATAAGTGCCTTTCGACTGCAGCTAGCAGAGATGAATGGATATGGCATTATAGACTAGGCCATCTCAACTTCAGAGACATCAGAGATTTGAAGAGAAGAAATATGGTTTCAGGATTTCCAGAAATTGACATTCCAAATGAGGTATGTGAGGAATGTGTGCATGCGAAGCAACAAAAGAATAGCTTCAGCAAGGATGCAGGAAGCAGATCGAAGGCTAGTCTTGAAGTTATATACTCTGATGTATGTGGACCAATCCAGGTGGATTCGATGGGAGATAACAAATACTTTGTTACATTCATAGATGATTTCAGTCGAAAGCTATGGACTTACCTGATCAAGAAGAAAAGTGAAGTGATCGAAGTATTTACCAAGTTTAAGTCTATGGTCGAAAGACAAAGTGGTCGAAAGCTCAAAGTTTTAAGAACTGATGGTGGTGGAGAATATGTGTTGAAAGACTTCGACAGATTATGTGAAAAGGAAGGGATTGTGCATGAGGTAGTGCCACCCTATACTCTACAACAAAATGAAATTGCAGAAAGGAAAAATCGAACCATCATGAATATGGTGAGAAGTATGTTGAAAGGCAAGAATTTACCTAAAGAGTTTTGGGGTGAAGTTGTTTCGACTGCAACATACATTTTGAACAGATGTCCTACAAAGAAGCTAGAAGGAATTACTCCAGAAGAATGTTGGTCTGGTGTGAAGCCTAGCTTGAGTCATCTAAAGGTATTTGGATCTATTGCATATAGACATGTTCCAGATCAGTTGAGAAGAAAACTTGATGATAAGTCAAGTCAAATGATTCTAGTTGGATATCATTCGACAAGAGGCTACAAGTTGTTCGATCTAGTGAAAAAGCAGATTGTGATCAGCAGGGACGTGATCATAGATGAGTTTAAAGAATGGGATTGGACTGAAAATATCAAGAAAGATTCAGTGGGAATCCTTCTTGAAAAATACATATTTTTTACTTCAATTGTGTTTTTTGGTAGGTGATGGTTACGTTAAACACTATTCTTAGGGAGTTTACAGAATTTTGTGCACTTATGAAGAAGGGGATGAAGGGTGTGGATTTTGACTATAAGAATGGTGAATTTTACACAAGTTTTTGTGATGAGGTAAATGCATTTATTTGCTAAGTAAATTTTAATACTTATTTTTTATTGCTTCTTCTCAAAGTGTCATAAATTTGCAGGAGACAACTATAATGCTGCATAATAGGTTCAGATATGTTACAAGTAATTTTGAGATCTTGAAAAAGTTGTTTAATGAAATATATGAAGCATCAGAACCTTCTAAATTTAAGAAAAGGAAATCAACAACTCGGACAAGTGGAAGAAGCAAAAAGTCCAAATCCTTAGACTCAGTGAGTAATCAATATTCGAGGAAAATGATTACTTTGAAAAATAAAATTATAAGAGAAATTAGATGTTTTGACGAAGAATATATTGGCAAGTTTATACTTTCGCATTTTGTAGACGATAATAAATGCGATGAATTTTTGGGTTATGATAAACAAAAATTGAAAACCGAAATTTTCCGTCTAGTTCAAGATATCTAAATGCTGTAGATGTCTGGATTTTTCATTACCTATCTTATTCTGAAATGCTTTACGTTAAGATGTCACAATTATGTGTAAGTTTCTAATTATATTAATATATATTTTATTGATGAAGATATATTATGTGTGTTAAAATTAATGTATTGTAACCACCACTATCTTTAGTAAGCATTATGTGAGAAAACCTATTTGTATTCTCTATAAGTTTCCTTCAAGCCTATATAAAGGTTTTGTAATGCTAAGTTGAAAGCAACAAGTATGTGGTGAATTCAATAAAAACAGAGTTTTTCAATGGTCATCCACTAGTAGAAGTATAGTGCAAAAAGTGACAAAAATTAGAGTCCTAAGCTATTACACGTCATGGGGAGAGGGGTACATAGTTTAATCAGGGAGTGCGGGAATAGTAAAGCCGAAAAATAAACCTAAATTAAACTATTACAAAAAAAAACCGACAACCTATACAGTGTCTCTGGAATTTAAATGCGGAAATTAAATTGCATAATTATTTGAATACAAAGATGTATAGGATAATCGGAGAATGAGAATCGGGAGAAGAAACGAGGGTTGAAAGCAATGTTTAAAAACCAAAATCGAAAGTAAAATGAGTTATTTTAACCTAATCGTCAATTATGTACAAGTTTAGAAAAAATAATCGGACGATTGGTGAACTCTGATTTAATTAATTAATTGATTTTGGAATTAAAACTAATTTAACCTAGATTAAACCAATTAAAACCTAATTAACTAATTAAACTAAATTAGTGAAAATAATAAAAGAAATTAAATTAATTAAAACTAATTTTATAAATTAATTAGTCTAATTTGTTATTAAGTTAATTATATTGTTATTCTAAATTAAACTTAAATTAGTTATTAAGTTAAGTTAATTAATAATTAGTTAGTAATTTAAATGAAAAAATAGGAAAAAGGCTAAAGTCAATTTGGTCACTCAGAAACCCTAATTGGTCAACAATCAACCATAAGGGCAAAATGGTCATTTTGCAAGTGAAAGTCAAGAATTTTTGTCAACTTCATTTTGAGACTATATTCATCATTTGATCAAGCCTTGATAATGACTCATCAAGAATAGCTCAAAAATGTTCAAGATGTTAGAGTTTCCAATTTTGGACAGTCAAAAGTCAACTGTACTTTGACCAAATCACAACTTCTTCATACTTTATCAGAAAAATTTCCATTAGTGATCATTTTGAAGGAAATTCATTTTGAAGGAAATTCAAAAACATCTTGTGGGTCAAAGGCCATAACTTGAGTTTGAAAAATGAAAATGATGT